ATATATAGCTTTCGAAAACGTGAACATATCTAATATTATATCTAATTATTTTTATATCATATACATCATGTAAATAATACGAACATATTACGTTTAATATATTTTTCACTATTACAATAGAACTTGTATTGGCAATACTCCTAGCAATACAAACATATTTTAACTATATATTTGGTCGTTCTGTGCTCAATCGAAACAAACTTAAGTCGAAACATTTTCACAAGTACAAATTCTGACATCTAAACTAGCGTAACATATAAAAGACTAACAGTGAACAAAATATTTCAAAGCGCAAATAATAAAATAATCATCATATTCCTTCTACAATTTTATCATTATTTTGTACAACTTGACTAGAAATATAATTAACCGAAATTACCTCACGAATTGTGATGAAATCTTAATATTGCGCATTTTTATTGAGAATACTTGTAGGCAGGCGAAAAATATTTGCACACTTCGTTTATTCTTCATATCAGAACAAAAATAATTGATTTCGTCGAGCTTGAACTAAATTTTATTCTCTATTCTCTATATTATAAAAAAAACAAATCATACAAGAAAGAGAACTATAGTGTAAAAACTCCTCACAATAAAAGAAAGATGTTTAGAATAAATGATGAGTTAAAAATAAGTTTTATGATCACATAACATATGATCAATCACATTTAACAAAGAAAACATCTGAAGACTCAAAAGTAAATAAATTTAATTAAAAAATAAAAAGATTTTATTAGCAAGAAAGTCCTTTGATAAAGAATTAATCATATTTCTTATTCATGCTGTGTATATATAATCTTTAAATTTTCAATTAAAAGCTTCAGTTTTTACTTTTTTTCTATATGTGTTATAAGAGGATTTTAAGAAATTATCAGAATTCGTTATGTTTTATGTAGGGTAGGGCGGGGTACAAAGGTTTAATTTTACTTTAACTTGAATAAAATTAGACAACAATATCTTATTTTTATTTTAAAGGTTAAGTTGGTCCTTTTTACCCCACACAAGTGTACGCTTTTCAAAAGGTTATATAAAAAAAACTGTTGAATCTAACATCTGGTCAAATGAACAGTTCATATTGTAAAATTCTTATTAAATAACGCATACTTAAAAATTATATTAAGATCTCGTAAACTAAACAACACTGCTCACGACCAAAAAGACTGGCAACGAAAGAAAATACTTTTGTTATGAATTTTAAAACGTTGCCATTTAACTCTAGTTAGCGATTTTGTAAGAATCAAGGTGATGGCTGATCATACATCTTTTTCCCTCTACTTTCAAATATTGTTGTTAAAAAATAATGCTGAACTATACTTGTTTTGGAGATATTGGTAAACTTTTCTACCCGTAGACCTTTGCGCCCCGTTCTACCCTATATTCGTTATTTAATTTTTTGCTCTATAGAAATAATTTATTATAAATGAAAAAGTAGAAAAATATGCAATTCGAAAAATTAAGCAAAATAAAATAAATAAACAAAATTATACACTTCTTCAACAAAACTATTAAATTCAACTTCCAGGGTTCCACTTTAATGTAATTATTAATAACCTCAATATATTTCTATTACCAAAACAAAATTTACAAATATTTTCCTCCTGCTGTATTTCAAAATAAGTTTGTTAACTGCTCGTCAATATGTTTAATAATATATCAATAACAGTATGAAAGAACAACAGATTCACTATAAATGCAACAATTTTAGATTTTTCACATGCCCTAATTTTCTAATATTATTCTACTTGCTTTTTATATATTATATAACATAATATTGGAATTAAATTTCTAAATAAATTTAGCGACCATTGAATTGCATCACGGTCTACATTTGCGAACTAGAATTGCAAAAACCAAATTTAACCAGGCGATAGAAATCAGAAAAGATTTATAGTGCTCCGAAGTAATAATAATATATATCTAAATATTAGAAAAATTTGCTAATGTGCAAATTATATGCTTAGTATACAAAATTATTTTTTATACTTTTTAAATTATATTCAAGTACCTATATTAATAATATAAAATTTCTGAAGGTTGCCAAAAAAAAAACACGATAATATAAAAATTATCCAAGCACTATAAATTTTGCAGTTCTGATTTCCAAATAAAGATTTCATTTTTTTCGATAAATTCAATTTTTTTAAAATAAGTATATGATAATTATTGCGAATATTACTCACATCTAAATGCATTTGCGTGTAAGAGGCATACAGAGACCCGTTCAGGCTTTGTTAAGTTATTAAGTCGAATAACGAAACAATTCCAAAAATTTCCAAAAACCATCTGCAAATATTTTAGCCAACAGTTTTTCCTGAACCAAATCCAATTTTGGATAATTGTTTCGCTCTCGTCTTTGGAACTTGAACGCTGCCTTCAATTTTTTGACAAGTTCTATAAAGATAACTAGATACTTGCTAGTTTTAATTAGTTTATAAATATTATTAATATTGTTTTAATATATCTAGACACCTATACAACGAACTGAATAATCTTTAGTAGTATTTGTGCGTTGTTTCAATACAGAAAAGGAAACCTCAGAAATCAAAAAAGTCGTATCATCATTTAAAATCTTATTTATTGTAATTTGCAACATCAATTGTGTCTTGGTTGCGAATTAGAACACGTTTTGGAAAATGCAAATAGTTATTGAGGTCTTCGTGTTTTCGTTTCATCATAAGTAGTAATGCTAATTTTTGGTCTTTTTTATTCAGTTTTAGTCGGTTTCTAAGGATCTTAAAATCTGCAAAGTGAAATAACGGAATTTTTATGACGCCTATTATAATAATTTGCATTGAAACTTTAGTTATGAATAAAACTATCAGTAAAGAACTTAAAACAAGTCATTTGTTCCTATACCAACTGTCTCTAATAGTCGCAATTATTTAATCTTGATGATATAGAATACAACCAATATCCAATAAATGTTTTGGTTTGTGCAAAATAGTATGAGCGTTAGATGCTTATTGTAACAGAATAAATTTCATATTATATTTTATTAAAAAAATGTTATAAAAACCTTCTTTATCATTAATTTATAACATTTTTAGCTCAATTTTAAATAAATTATTGTTACAGACTTATTATGAAAAACAATTTTGGTGATCTTGAATCCATAAATTTTGTAACAATGAAAATAATTTTAATTAAAATATGAAATATTATCAGTAGCAAACAGCAAAAAAAGAACGGTTAGTATTAAAATTTAAGAGATGGGGACTAGTGTTGCCCATTTTATGATAATCTTTCTAAAAATCAATTAAAACGCAATGTCAATAGTCAACGCAAAGTCATAATTTATTTTTAAAAATTGTTACTCAAGTGAAAACTGAACTAAGTCAAAAAAAAGTTATTCAAACGATGATTTTTGAACAAATTATAGTAATATATAAAAAACGCGAATATTCTTTTTTTTAATTCTTGCATTCTGAAATATTTTTTTTATTTTTATTTATATATTATACTATATTATGCTTTTGTTTATCAAAGAATTCAGAAATTAAACTTATATAAAAATGCTCATTATAGAAAATAGCCTTTAAATTTAAATCAAGTGAGAAATGTTTTTAAAAAAAATCTGAGGAAAGGTTTGCTGTAATCAAATGTAAAATAATAATAATAATAAATTTTTAACAATAAGAATATAATATCAATTGATTTTGTGTTTAGAAATTTTGTTAAATGTATCACGCAAATTGGGATTAAATTTTGACACAAAGGTACATAATATTTTATAATTAAAGTTATTCGGTACAAAAATTTTTGGAATTTTATAATTGATTTAATAGAATGAATAGATTTTTTTTAATAGTTACAAAAAGCTTCTATTGCCCTACTAGACGTTTTCGATGTTATACAAAACTAATAAATTCCTTTGCTGTAATTTTTATCATGATAGAAACTCGATCAAAAACCAAAACTAGATCTGTATAAAATTTGCTATTACGTTTCAGAATTAAACATTCGGGTTATAATAATCTATATATTATTTAAATAACGTTTTAATATTTGGCATTGCAATCTTAATTATCACTGACTTGTTATAATAATCCGTGCCAAGACGGATGCAATATTAATTCAGGATAATATTATAGAAAATATCACTTATCGAAGAAAATTTGGTAATACATCAATAATTTATTATCAAAAAAATATTTAAAAAAGAGTTAAAGATTTTAGAATACAAAGAGTGTCTTCAAAAATCTTCAAAAAATCTCTTTACTAGAATAATTATTCTAAAAAACTTTGATTCATATATTATTTGATACCGGTGAGTTACTTACTATTAAATTTTATGTCACATGCACACTCACGATTTCTATAAAGTATGTCCCTTGTATTTAGACAAAATCGAATTATTCGATTTTTCTTTATTAATTTGTTTTAAACATTAAATCCGCTGTAATATTAAACTTAATCTTACACATCATATCTATATTTGAAAAAATCGCTTAATTTAATTCAATATAATCTGATGCACAATTTATCATCTCTTCATCAAAATCGATTTTATTATATATTTATATTATAGGCCTATACATCATTTCTATGTCAATAATTTTAAATAAAGCATTCACAAAATATTAAACTTTGATAAATGCTACTTGAATTATTCTTGCAAACCGCTACCGTTTATTTGTAGAGAGCTCAACGTATGTTTTTTATTTATAAATGTGGTTGAATTTCAAATTCATGGCACAAATTTTAATCATTTCAGTTTATTGCTGTGACTAGAGATTTAAAATTGTTAAATTCACTCCACATTGAATACGTTTTAGATTTCGTATTATAACTGACAAAATAGTATTAATATTATTTTAACTTATCTGAAAGACATTTTTCGTCACTGACGTATATTTCACAACGAATCAGGCAATATATTTGGTTCAAACGACTAGTACTACAATTTTATATATAATACTTTATGTATTTTGTCAATGACACATTAATTCTTTAAGTTTTATACTGAGATCATACATCTAAAATCCAAATTAATAGTCCTGTTCCATGTTCCGTTCATGATAAAACTCAATTCCTTTTCTTTTGGTAAAGCTTTAAGAAGTGGTACTATATAGCAAAAACACATTTGTATATAATATGCAATCGCTATTATTAAACTTCTTAGACGAAGTAAAATGTAAAAACCATGAAAATTCCAATTTTGTCATTTTCACTATCTTCGATGATATTTGACAACCTTGATTGGATCAAATGTGTATGCCAACAAAACTATACTCACGTCTTACGACCAAGAAAAGTATCGATCTGGTAATCGATTTTATCAGGTGTTCTATTGTTAAAAAAGGTAAATCACTAAAATTGTTAAAATGATCGGAATATGGTTACGATGATGACCGATGCCCTGACAGCATTTTAGTATCATCCTTTGGACTTGGTTCGGTTTGTTGTTTTTGGTTGTTTCCAGTACCAGTTTGTTCTTGATGCTGCAGTTTCGTTTTTTCCAACAAATTTTTATATATGCTTGACGTTACGAATCTGTAACAAAATATTGTGATTAGTTATATAAAGCATAGATTAAATGCACATGAGGATACAATTAACCAAATCCAAAATGACCAAAGATTAATAAAATAGAGTATATTGCAATAACATCGAAAGTTATTAATCAGCTTGAACATTTGTTGATATTTAAATAAATTAGTGGTGTTTGGCGGAGTGTCTTGAAACAAATTTTAAAACTTTCCTCTTTGTTACCACATGGATGATTTTAAGATAATTATTGATAATTGCTAAATTGGCAATTGCAATAAAATTGGAAGAAAACTAAAAAATTAAGTACATGTTATTACCTAGAAAATAATTCATGTTATTATAATTAAAAGCTTTAGAATAAGTATAAATTTTGAGATTGCATAAAAACTATGATTTTAGGAAATGTTAGGACTTGTAGAAATCTTCCAGAAATTCCTTATTTTAAAATGATTGAAAAAAAATGAAGTTTTAGAGTTATGTGAAAAACAGCAATAGTTTTTATTTCAAATACACAACTTTTGATTGAATTTGTTATAATGTCTGAAACTGCATTACAAAAGAATGAATTTTTTTCTTTGTACACAAATATCACCTGGATTAAATTGAGATATTTATAAATAATTGACACAAAAATTGAAAAAGTACCCGAAAATCTATCTATAATGTATATTATTGCGATTTGAAACTTTGAAAACTTGCTTAAACTAAAAGTTCCTTATTTTGAAATTATGGTTGAAAAAAAAAATTGCAATAGTTTTGATTTCAATCACTGACAATAAAAACTCTCAAATTTCGTTTGGTTTTGTCATAATTTCTTAAGCTGCATTCAATTATTGTACACAATCATACATATAAAATTGTAATGATATAAAAAAGAAGCATAAAAAGTATCACACTATTTTCTAATTTCTAATTCAACTGATACGAAACCCTGAATTGTTAGTGCCTCTATTATAAGATGCCTGTAAATAAGATAAAACAATAACATAATACTATTTTACTACAAATATTATATTAATTATATGGTTACTAACAATGCAATTAATAATAATATTGTATCTACTAGCAAGTTAAACTAGAATAAATTTTTTAAACGTGTTTCTGAAAAATTAACATAATTATTAGATTAATTAATTAATTAAATCAATTATTTAACATGAAACCTTGAAGAAGTTAAATCAACGTATCGCATATCAAATATCTCAGTCAATACAACTAAAATAAAAATTGGAAAATCAAAGATGTCGAAAGAATATAGTATCTTCGAAAAAAGTAATCAACACGTCTCCTGGTCAATAGGAATCGAATTTTTCTAAGGTATGCCAAAATGTTCAAAAACCTTTGAAACATAAATATATATATACAAATTTTCATTGTAGATCTTTTTGGTGTTACTATAACTTTCCCTACGGGAAGTTAAAAATATAGGCTTCAAAAATACAAAATCATCTGACCATTTACAGTGATTGACAGAGATAATTCATTTTCCGCAGGGTAAGTTAGAGTAATCGCTAAATAATCGAAAATAAAAAATTTCATATATCTTTATGTTTCAAAGGTTTCTGAACATTTTGGCGTACCTTAGAAAAAATTGATGTATGTGTGTATTGACGCACATCCAAACCAACTAGCATGCAACTTATACCAGGAAGGCCAGCCGACCAGGCTCAAAAGGAAAATACCTCGAGATTTATTATAGTTTATATATATATATATATATATATATATATATATATATATATCTCTCTCTATATTTGTCTTTAGTTTTTTCTTTTTATATATTAACTATAGTAGATACACCACTGGGCGTATGTACTAATTTGTAAACAACCAATTGTAAACACTTGTCAGCATTCTCTGCTAAATATAATTATTTTTATAGATTGCAGAATGAAAATAAAATAAAAAAAAAAAAGTGTGTATGTGTGTAAACGGATACAAATTTTTGACGACGATTTCGGAAACACTGATCAACCGATTTGATTAATTTGATTAAACGTGCTGATTAGTTTTTGGCGAAGGCAGGTCTATCCGTTCCGAAGATACGGGGTAAAAAGTGCCAAAAACGGTAACTCAGTTTTTAAGAGAACGGAGTTTTTACTTGTATTGACAAGATGAAGAACAAGATTTAATTTTTGGGAAGGTCCAGCAGTTAGGCACTCAATATAAATAAGTTAAAAAAATGTCATGTGGCGGTCAAAAATGTTTATTGGACATATGTACATCCAATTATCAGATATTTTATAGAGATTTTAATAATGTGTACACATTTTGTGTAAATTTTTTTGGGTTTCGTACCAAGTTTTTCCATTATGGTACGAAAAGTTCCAGCAATTTGCTTTTTACTAGTTGCCCTTTAGAGCAGTTAGTGTCTACGAAAATCATCAAGTGAAGAAAATACTTTTTGGAATTCTGATATCTTTCACTCGAGACATATTGCTCTCGTTACTACTATACAATCGTAAGCGTACTCTACAATTATCCCATAGTTACTATATGATTTCCTATCGCAATTTACAGTTGCCGAGATGCAGACTCGGCATTCTCTGCTCATTGATCAAAATTAATGTAGTTATCTTAGTGCTCTAGTAGGTACCTATGGCTTGTACAATTATATTACAGTTTCATGGTACGAGACATCAGCCGCCTATTCACTTAATGCACCATCGCTATTTTATGCACTTGCAATTCAATTTATAATACATCAGTCGCTAACTTTCGGGACAAATGTATGCTGTAGTTTACTTGTACATTGGAAGAGATAAAAATTTTGTGAGATGTGAAAATTATTTTTGTAACTAATTAATTTAATTCATTTAGACAAAACTGTAATTCCATTTGTTTTTCGTTAGTTCCAAACGCATGACATGCATTTGTAAGCGATTCTTTACATAATATATATTAAAAAATTAGAAATACGGTCAAAAGTGTTTTTAATGATATTTATTTATTTATTGATATTATAACCAGTCTCAATTATTTTTGCTCATATTTGGTTTATTGACTACCAGTAACATAGTTTTTGAATTAAGTAGGAACTATAATAACATATTTAATGAGGAAAAATGCTACCAATTAATAAATCATTTGTTCATATAGTACGGATGACATATAAAGAAAGGATATACAAAAATGTCAATTTTTGAGAAGGTGGTTGGCAAATAAATCATTTGGTTCTCTTTGGGAACAAAATATACATTGTTACCAACCTTCAGAACGTAATAAGTGGTCTTTCCAATAAATGCAAGTCTGTTTTTGAAGTAGTTTAAGTAGAAGTTAAAAAGTCATCACCTTTGACAGGTCTCGATTATTTTTTTGGCATCGAATGAAACTGCCTTGTACTGAATACAAAATAATACTGTTATTTTGTCCATAGTATAAGTCCGATTGTCCGAAAGAGAACAAAAATGTATAAATGATAAAATTTTTATTAAACACCTGATTATTGCAATAAAATTGAGCAAAACCACTAATACTGGCATAAGTTCATTGATTATGATAGAAATAATTACAAGTAACAATAAATAATTCCCCAAAAACATGAGAAATTCACCTTCAAAATAAACTTTTAAAGGCGCGAAACACGTTTGAACTGATTACTCTGAAGACTGACAATGACGCCCAACATCTGGCATGATTTTTGTTATTATGGCTGTCTTAACGTTATACAGTTGCAAAAACGTTTATAAATTTAGGCAATTTTTAATAACAGCTACTTTGTTGGTTTGACCATATATACTATTTTGTCCGTATTTTTCCTTAATTAATTATTATTGGTTATTAATTATATAAGTTATAAATAAAGAGTTTTAGTAACGTTTTTATAGTATTTTGTTAGTTCGTGATAAGATCGAGAATTAGCAGCCACTAGTTCAACCCAAACCTCGCCCAGTTTGATATTAAGCAGTATGATACCAGATTTCTACTTGAAAATATTGATCTCAAATATTGTAAGTGAAAATATCCTTTCGGGACCATTTCTGCATAATATTAGAAATAACGAAAAATACTGATCACGTATAGTAAAAAAACGTTTTAACTAGAAATGAACATCTAGTAGGTTGCCTTCTGAGCAAGCTAAAGACAACAAAATAATTACTGAGTGTTTTCATAATATATAGATTTGAATTTACATCTCACAAACAATAAATTGTCGCGATGATTTTTTCGTTTTTTTTGGCGATTGATAAAACTAAATAAATTAATGGTACAAATGAAAGAAACAAACAACGGTATATTGATTGTGGTTTTGCACGAGTTCGAATTGCAATTTCCTCTAGGTCTTGTTATATTATGTAAAATATAAAGCAGATAAAAAATGGATGATAAATTCTGATGACAGACAATTCTTGATTGAAACATGTTTCCATGTGAAAATGTACCTTACTACTATTACAGAAATTGTGATAATAAAATTCATCACATAAAGATAGAGCAACTATTTGTGTTGCCATCCATAAAATTGACGAAGTTAACTAAAATCATTACAACAGATTAAAGGATCCTGAAGCTCTGATTGTTGTTCAAAAATAATAATCATAATGCTTTGTACAACTCTCTCTATAAAAGTTTGTTTAATACATCAAAAACTTAAAAAAATGATTACTAACAGCATATGAACGAAAGTATAGATACTGAAAAAGCAGTCTGAGCATTTGCAACTCTGAATAGCAATCTGCAGTATTTCATTTAATTATAATCATCATTATGATCGTATTATTATTGACAATGCGAAATATCAAATTAGAGAACATTTGAGAATGGTTAATATCAAACATCAAAATCACTTGACATAATATATCAAATTGACCACAAAGGTCGATGACAAACGACATGTGCGCCAAGCATTCGAAATTTGAGCAATAATACTATTATGCAATATCAACACTATGCAATTGTTAGCAGATAATCCGTAACATGTGTTCTGACGATCTAATATCAAAAATTAATTAATTCGATTACTAACCAGAATATATTTAAATTTTAGTATTACATAACTTTGTCAAATCATTATCAAAGGCGACCAATTAGAAAATACTAATTTAGTAAGACTTTAGATACTTAAAACTTTCTATATGAGGGGCCATTCTCCGATAAAATAGACCGTTAGATGTTATGCTTCTTTTTTCATATAAATTTTTAGTAAAAACTATAAAAATGCTATGTATTTGCTGTGGGATAAAAATAACTTGGTTGATCATTCAGACCCACAACTTAGTTTTTATATATATACATTCAGTTTTTGAGAAAACGTCAACAAAAGTCAAAAATTGGATACGCACAAACATACTCTGTCCAAATTAGGTCATTCACAATGACTTGAAAGGTTAGGAAAATGTAAAATTAGCAAGTCGGTTTTTCTGGCAAAAACAAACTTCTTTTTCGGGAAGAATAAGCTTTTGTCTAAAATCAAATAAAGGCAATAAATTTCATGATCTACACACAAACATCCTAAAACATTATAGTTTATTAGTTTATGCAACTTGCCGTAATGCTTCTACAAATCAAACTCTTAACTAGTGGTATATGACATCGTGCGTTAAGGCAAATTGCTGAAACTTATTGTACCAAAAATTTAATTTTTTGAGAAATATTCAATTTTTTTAAAACTTTGAAAAAACAACATTTTTGAGAATTTTGAAATTTTCGAAAAAAAATAGTTTTTTGAAAAAAAGATTTTTTTTATTTGGAAATATTTTGGAAATTCTGAATGTTTTGAAGCAATCGCGCTGCTTTAGCTGCGTAGAGACGAAATATCTAAACGCGTAAGCGCCGCGTCTTAGTTTAGCGGACAATGGGGCGTCCATTAATCACGTGGATTCTTTAAGGATTTTTAGACCCCCCCACCCCCTTGGTAATACGTGGTGATATTCAAAATTACGGGATAGTTAGTTACGGGAAAAAATGTAAAATTTACCTTTTTTGAAAATGGATTTTTTTTTTAAAAAAAGATAAAATATAAATAGACATGATATCTTACTATACTCCTCCCTCCTCCACGTCATATTTTGTGATTTTTTGTCGAACCCCATCTCTCCCGGAAAACCTCCCGTAATCAATGGACGCCCCCTAAACAGTGTTACAGAACCCATAGAAATGCATACAAAATTTGTACTTATTATTGACATGTCTAATGATCATTTTTGACCGGCAATTTGTACTTATTATTGACATGTCTAATGATCATTTTTGACCGGCAATTTTTTTTTACTTTTTTTACTCGATATCCAAAACCAGTAGACCAGTCATCCCAGATATTTAATCAGTTCTTCAATTTATCAGTAAAAGTAAAATCTTTTTTAAATTATTAAAGTCAGCCGTTCCGTTCTCTCAAAAACTGAATTACCATTGTTGGCACTTTTTGCCCCGTATCTTTGGAACGGCTGGCCAGCCTTGTTGAAAATCGGCACGTCTCTTTACCAATGGAAATTGAATGTTTTCTGAATCATTCAAATCGGTTGAAGCGTGTTTCCGAAATCGTCGACGAGAACTTGTATCCAAACACACACCCACACACAAACACAAACAAACACACACACATACATGCATTTTTCTTAAGGTATGCCAAAATGTTCAGAAATTTTCATTTTCGATTTTTTTACAAGTATTATAACTTACCCTACGAGAAGTATACAAAGATCGAAACGCACCAAAAACTACTACTGGAACTACATCGAGAAAATGAATGTACGGCCTAGTGGGCAGTTATAAAAACCACTCACAAAATTATATAATATTTCTATGAATTTTTTACCCAGAAAACGTGAGAGAAATATACATGCTAAAAGTAATTAGTACAAACTACAAACCTCGGATACGAGTCCCTTTGCATGAGAGTGTAAATCTGTTGTTGAGCTTCGTCGTACGTATGTGGTGTTGGCTGCATCATATTTTTATTAACAATATCTCGCACCGCAGAGTCTAGAGATACCTGCAAAAATGAACAAAAATAATATAGAATACCGTATGAGCTTTGAAATACTGTGAAACTATGATATTCTTATACAGGAATTCATACGGGAACTGGAAAATACGACTAATCTGATAAAATATTTTTACGGCTATATGGGATTCACATACGAGGATTATTTAATGATTTTTGGATGGTTTTTTTTTTGTATCACTGAAGTAGAAAAAAGTTATTATTTTAATTGAAGAAGCATCTAAGTATACTTTTTGTCAAATTATATTGTAACTAGTGGTGTATGGCACCGTGCCTTAAGGCAAATTGCTGAAACTTCCCGTACCAAAAAATAAATTATTTTAAAACAACTTTAAAACTTTGAAAAAAAATAGATTTTTGAGAATTTTGAAATTTTTGAAAAAAAAAATGAGTTTTTAATTAAAAAAATTTAATTATATTTCGAATTTATTGCGCTGCATAGCTGTTTTAATGTTTTAAATAAAATATCGAAGCGCGTAAGCGCCGCGTCGTTGTCTAACGGCAACGTTGGCATGGACATTAAAACATTGGCATGGACCCATAAAAATGTTTACAAAATTTGTAGTTATCATGATCTCTATAAAATATCTGATAATGTACATATGTCAAATGATCATTTTCAACCGCCAAATGACATTATTTTTTACATTTTTATTGGATCTAAGCAAATGCTGGACTTGTATTCTAAAAAATTTCACCAGTTGTTCACTTCGTCAATGCAAGTAAAATGTTTTTCGAATTATTCAAATTGGACGTTTTGTTCTTTCAACAACTGATATACCATTTTTGGCACTTCTGCCCCGTATCTTCGAAACGACTAGACCTGCCTTTGCCAAAAACTGATCAGCACGTCTCCATATCACTAGAAATCGAACGAATTTTGAATTATTCAAATCGATTGATTCGTGTTCTCCAAATCCTCGACGAAAAATTGTATCCGCACACACACACACATACACATTATTATAAGGTATGCCAAAATGTTAAGAAACCATTGAAACGTTAAGATATGTAATAATTTTAATTTTTTTGTTATTTTGCGATTGTTGTAATTTACCCTAAGGGAAGCTAATAATTATTTCCATCACTCTTTAAAAATATCTATTGAAGTTTTAAACCATATGTACTTATTTCTCCTATAAAGTTGAAAAATGAATGATTTTTATTTTGATTATAAAATGTTTACAGAAAAGTTTAGAAATTTAACTGCAAAATAGGACTATACTGACAATTAAAAATTTTAAGGCTATGAAGAATTTTGATACAAAGATAGTGTAATGTTTAAGGTTTCTTTTTTGATATTACATATTTAAACTAACTACACTCTGTTGAATTCGGAGCTTTAAAATTCAAATTGCCAAATAAGTATTATACAATGCACATAAAAATTATCTTTCATAATATTGACAGTATGAATATGATTATAACATTTTGTAGTAAAAAAAATGATTTAAAAAAAAAATTTACTAAAAAAATTATATATCAAATAAAGTTTGTAGTAATCTTTAAGTTACCATTATCTAAATTTGCAGGACCAAACAATAAAATTTTATACAACAAAACATCTTCTAAATAATCTAGGCACACAGTTCATTAAATACATTACAGATTCGTATTTAATTTACACGAATTTATAATTTTTGTAAACACGAACTAGATACTTTCAAAATAGTATCGAATACATTTTAATTGCAATTATTATATCCCAAATGAGTTGCACGCACGGGAACCGAGTTTATTTAATAATGCAGCGATTTTAAATAATAAATAACATACAACAAGAGCATCGTGTTTTGTATGAAACTAATTATCGCAGGTAACATCGACATGAATACGAATATGAAATACGAAACACGATAATTAGAAAATTAATCTGTTGTTTACCTATTAGTTATGAATTTTAATTGATACACAGTTACATGTAAATGATATCCACGGTAGAATTAATTTACCGAGAGGAATTATGTTCCGCATTTCTATTCAATTCGAACATGAATATGAGGATTGAAATATTATAATAAAAACATAATTAAAACGTTATATAAAAGGGCTTCCACGTGCATTGGAGGTTTCAACTATGGGTTTTCGTACCGACTAAGGCAGCCTGATGTCAAGCAATAGCGATTTCGATTTTTACTTGAAAATATAGATAGCAATATGTTTCCAAGTGAAAATAGCCATTTCCAGGCATTGCTGTACTAATAAGAGTTCATTAGTATTACAGAAATTCGAACAGTAGATTCATCAAACAGAGATACAAAATACGTATGTGTTGCCATCTATAAAAAAAAGCCACGACGTTTAAGAAGAAAAATTATTATGAAAATATTGTTACTTAAAATAACTACAAACAATTTTGTCTTATAATAGATTTGATAACATAAAAACGAAAAACATTATAGTCTTATAATACAGATTTTTGTTTTAACACTAACCAACAAAATAATTTAAACAAAGTTTATAAATATATAAATATATTATAAATTTTTTAAACAAAAAATCTATCTATTTTTTGAACAAAAAGTTTTAATTCAATTGATAGATTTAGTATGCAACTTCTCAATTTATTACCATTTCGAAAACGTTAACTAAGCAATCATATGTTCCATAATGTTTTGAATGATTAAATTACTAAAAGGTAAGAGCTTCTAGGATATATCTGAAAATATAACTTTTAACTTCAGAGAATATAACAGTGGTACCTACTATCCCCTCCATAATCTAGATTTTTTTACTAATTAAACATTGATATATCATTCTGAATGATTCTAAAGTTTCAACTACATTTAGATATAATAATAAGGATTCGAGAACATATTTTCCTTCATTAGATGTTTTCGTAGTAGAAAATAATCAATCGTTTCTTAATATAAATTGTACCCTCGCGGAAATATAAATTGTACAAATATATTCAGTTCTTCAAACATTGACCAAATTCACTGCATGTGACAAACATTTTTAGATTCGGTTATATTTACAAATTCAAAAAATATATTATAAGTCTTAATGATGTCGAAGTTATCGATGCGGTTATTTTAACTTGTCCTTCAACATATTAAAGAAAATTGTTAGTAATAAGCTTTTGCTGAATAAAAATATTTATACATTTACAGTATTTGCAATGATTTTATCATTAAATAAGTGTAAAGAAAAGTATAGAGTTTAAGTAATTTTAGGCAACAAGATGCAAATAAATTTTACATTACATCGTTATTATATTATTAGAACACTTATAAAACCAAAATAAGTTTATTATAATAAAATTGTAAATTATCTCATATTTAATTTTTTATATAGCTTGATTGTTTCACAGCTAACTAATCCCAGAGTTCATAATTATATTGGTTTCAAAAATTGTATAATATAAAAGAAAGAAATCTATTAGTGTTTGCTATTTTTATTAACATTTTTAGTTTGATTAATTCACCAAAATTTCTACAGTACTTCATAATTATCAGTAAACTTTATAAATGATTGATCTTCAAAACGATTTTTTTTAATTAGTAGCGCAAATACAGAATTCGTTTTAGTTTAAATACTATTTTTTTTAATCCAGAAAAAGAGATTGTTTGAACAGTCAGCAGGAAAGGATGATAATTCTTCTGGAGAGGAAGAGGCGGAGGATGACCCTAGGTCTATGAATTAATCGCCCAGAAGACGCAGGGCGACGTCCGCCTCTGCCGCCTGCAGGCGCAGGAAATACCGCCGACCATATGCAGTTATCCTTCTTTTATATTTTTCTTTTTTTTTGTTCTTTAGTTTTTCTTTTTTTTTACCGACCATATGGTCTCATCTTTTTTTTATATTTTTCTTTTTTTTTGGTTCTTCAGTTTTTCTTTTTTTTTTTAACTAATTCAGATTACAGGTGGTCTCATCCTAAAGAAAAAAATATGATAAGGAATTCAAAATGCAAAATATTTAATATGTTACAATTGTATTAAATTATTATTGTAATTGACACTATTTGGCCCTAGTTGTTTGTGATACTTCACTCATTATCAGACATAGATATAGAAATGCTCGCGCAAAATCCGATCATATATCTCAATATAAATTATTAAGATTTAAAAAATATTAATTAAACTGCAGACCAATTTAAATTTAATATATTTTTCATATTAAAAACATCGTGATATTATATCAATATCGAAGTGAGTTCAAATAAAGGTTATGTTATACTATTTTGACAGCTACAAAGTAAAAACGCACGAATATTTTTTTTATTTTCGAATCGTAGCAGCAGTGTATTATAACAAGCAATAATAATTATAAATCAAAGTTTTACCGTTAAAATATATCGAAATATAACCATATTTATTTTCCTTCAAAATGATAAATTTTGAAAATGCAATACGACTTTTGCAAAAATATAATATTTGTCTATATTAAATGAAATGCTTCGTTTTTCATATTCATAAATATTATCAAAATATAACTTACGTAATTCCTGGTTCAAACGGTCTTAAATTTTTAAAAATTATACACAACATTTTCATGCAAATTTTTACTGGCCAATATAAAAAAAAACTTGCGTATTTTGTTTATTTTCTCAAAAACTTTGACTCCTAGATAAAAGAAGAATTTATTGTTTTTATAATTGAAGTGACGTTTGCAGAATTAGTTATCAGGGTTGGCCATGAATTCAACGATATTTCTGTTGTGAAAAAAATTACACACACATTTTTAGAGTTTAATTTAAAACGCATCAGTATTTATCAATATCAGAACCTGGTATTTCATCTAATGTAGTGAAATGTTATTTTTTTGCAAAAATCGTATTGCATTCTTAAAATTACTTCGAAGGAAGGAAGGATTTACTAATCATTAAAACTTTGACGTATTATTATTAATGCTTGGTATTATATTGCACTAGTGCTATGATACCAGTATAAGAAATATTATGAAATAATTTTATTCGTAAATTTTTATTTTGACGCTGTCAAAATGTTATCACATAAACTATAATATTGAACTAGATATGATATTGA